AAGGGTCGCGGCCTGCAATTTGTCCTTAGTTAGGGGCCACTGTTCTATCCACACAGGGTCATCTGATAACCAAGTAATAGATAGAGGACGTGGCCGCATTTCAGTGGCCCCTAGGATAAATTTCCTAGCCCCCTCCGATCTCCTCCACTTCTGGTAATTTCTTCTGTAGGGTCCACAGGCGTTGCCCTTCCCTCATGTCTTTTCCCCAGTCCTTTTCCGGGAAGCCATCCCATATCTAACATCATGTCATTAACAAATTTATTACTCCCTTTTAGGGTCTGAGTGGTGAGGATAGCTCCCATTTGTTGAAGTAGGTCCCTTCCCCAAAGGTTTGTGGGGAGTCCAGCCACTACATAAGGCTGAAAATAACCACTGTGTCCTTCCTCATCTCTCCATTTTAGAAAGGAGGCACTTTTTTCTGGTCTCGTCTGCCCAATCCCCTGTAATACAGCTGAGGGATCTTGGAGAGGCCAAGCAGATGGCCATTGTTTCTTAGAGATAACAGAGACATCAGCTCCTGAATCTAATATCCCCTTGAAGATTTTATCCTGTATTTTAATGGTTAACTGTGGTCGGGAGTCCAAGTGTGCTACCCAAAAGGTTTGAGGGGAGCCGGTGGAACCAAAACTGCCATTACCCCGGGCTGCCTGTAGGGCGCGGCTGGGTAGAGACGCCGCCGACAGCAGCAATCCCTTGGGTAGCCTCGGCAACAATTTTTAACTCCCCGTGGTAATCACCATCAACCACACCTGTAAGACTTCTGAGCCCTTTATGCAGAGTGCTGCCTCTTCCCAGTATCAGTCCCACAATTCCCTCCGGCAAAGGGCCAAAGACTCCCGTTGGCAGGGTCTGGGGACCCATCTGCGGAGTCAGTACTGCTCGGGAGGTGGAACTGAGGTCCAATCCTGCACTTCCCGGTGTTCCCCTGGGGAGTTCCCGGATAGAAAGGGGTTGGTCAGGGGGAGGCGGCGGAGACGCCCACTCCCCGGGGCACTGTTTCGTCCCTGCACTGCCCCGTACACTTTGGCTTCCGGGGCCCGGGGCGGGCCCCTGCTCCCGTTTCCCGACGGTATTGGGTTACCCTGAATGTCAAATTTTGACCTGCACTCACTACTCCAATGATTTCCTTTATGACATCGAGGACAAATTCCAAGCATCCCTCTGCCAGCACCCTTGCTCCTTTCCGGGCAGTTTCTCCTTATATGTCCCTCTTTCCCACACTTAAAACACCCCTTAGAGCGGGTTCCCCTGTTATCAGGTTTTTGCATTCCAGTCTTAAGGGCAGCAGCCAAAACCTGACCAGTAATATGAGGCCCATCTATATCTTTGCATGCTCGAATCATGTCATCTATACTTTTGGCCCGGGAGGACTTAATAGCATTTTGGCAGTAAGTGTTAGAGTTTTCATATGCCAGTTGTCTAATAAGTGGCATAGCCTGTTCCAGATTAGGGAATATTTTTCCAGCCGCCTGCATTAGGTGGGCTATAAAGTCCGAATAAGGTTCAGAGGGCCCTTGACAGATCTTGGAAATTTTTGCTTCAGTCTTAGAAACGGGCAGGGCTTTCCAGGCATGGACCGCAGCTGAGGCTATCTGAGCATAGACCCCCAGGATCATAATTAATTTGCTGATTTATGACAGCATATTGTCCCGAGCCTGTTAACATTTCGAGGTTACGCCGTGGGAAGCCGGTGTCCTGATTGACTCGGGCTAGCTCGGGACACCTCTCTTGATTTTCACTTTTCCACAACAAAAAATCCCCTCCGGACAACACAGCCCTGCGAAGCTGTTGCCAAACCAAATCCCAATCATTGTTATTGAGAAAGCCTCCTGTCAGAAACCAAGGACAAGCCTGGGCTATAACTTCAAAGAATTCGGTTGCAGTCTTAGTTTTTATTCCTGTTCCTTGTGTATTTAACAGCTCTTTTAGTTCGTTGGCCAGACGAACCTTCGCTGTTGAGTTACCCATGGTACGTACCCTGTCTCTTTAAATTACCTTTAAACCAATCCTCCCCCTTCTACCTTTAGAAGGTGAGCCCCGTCCGCTTACCCCTACTTTCAGGATCTCGGTGGGAACCTCCAGATGCCGCATCCGGCTAACGGAGCCGAGTCCGGCGAGGGACGGCGGGGTTAAAAATACACAGGACACCAAGGTTCTTCATCCAGGAGGGAGCGTGTGCGCGCTTTATTGCCAGATTTGTTCCCTTTATATATCTTTTTAACAGCTGCGGGAAATTACTCAAAAGTGAGGAGGGAAGAGTAATAACTGCGTCCTTGGGTTACCGTCACGTCACCGTCCCCTATCAGGAGGCTCGAACAGGTCAAGATGTTCCCGAGACACATGTGTGCGAGGCAGATAAACAGGGAACCGCAAGCCCGCGTCATGGCCTTGTGAGCTGGCCACATTGACATGCATAACAAAGAACTGGGGGTTGAGTCCCCAGGGGCCAGGGCGGGCCTGCTATCAGCAATCAACTAGATCTTTTTAAAATGCTAAAGAATAAAGAATGGAGATATTTTCAGAAAACTGAATTTAATATACATATATGGTACATATATAAACACAATTAAGTTTCATATGGATTTATACATATGAAATACATTCACCTCTAACAGCTCTATCAATAGAACTTTCTGTGATGATAAAAATGTTTTATATTTGGGCTAACATTATCATTAGTTACATATGGCTATTAAAATAACCATTAAACTAAATTTTTAGTTTAATTTAATTTTAATTCATTTAAATTTAAATAGTTACATGTGGTTGGTAGATAGCACAGTGGCCAAAACTGTTATAGATTGATGGAAGAAAAATAGAGAAAAATTCATTGAAATTGAGCAGTGGTCTAGCTGATAAAATTTTGCTTTATTTATAACAATGTTTACCAAATTTTCTACAATAAGCATGTATTCCTTTTATAAAGTCAAAATTATTGATAAAATATATATTTCCTAATATCTAATTTGAAAGAAGTAGTTTATTTCATAGAAAATATTTTTGAATTAAATTCTTGTAATATAGAAACTGAACTAAGACAATACTTCAAAGTACTTGAAAAAAGTTTTGCAATGGAAACTTCATTTTAATTTAAGTAAATCAGTTTATTTTTCATGTAGTAAAATCAGTAGTTTCTCTATACCAATATTTCATACTGCAATGGATTTAGGTAGGATTATTTGTAAGAAATGTAAGAAAAGACATTCCATCTCAGAGATATAATGAATTACTCTGAAAGGGTAAAAATAAGTTAAATGTTAAAACTTTCACTCATTTGTCTATTGTATATTACAATTTTAAAAGGAAAAGAACTTTATATTTGTGGTTGCAGACAATTTAACAAATATTCTAATAAAGTAAAAAGTAAAATAATCTAATGGACCTAAATTGAAATGAAAAAAAAAAGGATTAACATCATATTTTTAGAAAACTGGGAGGATTTATTATAAATTCTTCCTATTTGTCTATGACCTCCTTATCAGCCCTCCCCCATATCAATTTGCTTGAATTAGCAACAGTAAGAATTCTCTTAATGGGCCCCATTAGTGCTTACAATATGTAGTGTGAATAATACATTTGAGACATCAGCATTCTGGTATCTAGGCTGTAGCTTAACTCTGATTTTAGAAAGAATGCCAATCCCATTCATTTTATTGTTTCAACAGCTGTTTGAAAACAGAGTGGGGGAAAAATTAGCTATTTTCAAATGTCAGCAAACCTGGGTAACTCTAAATGTTTAGAGCTGTCAGTACCCGTCGCATCACAGAGGTTTAATTCAGCAGTATGGGAATACATGGGCGTCATTGCCAGTCAACAGTTCAGACTTTACTAATACAAATTGAATTCTACTTAGTGCATCCTTTAGTACTAAAATATCACTACTAATTAACCATGTGCAAAGACAAATATTGGGTATATTAAATACTATTCATATGATTAAATTAGAAAGTTTTGGTTTGAGATATAACAGATCATTTTAATGCTAATCATGTTTTTTCAAATCATAATGTACATTGTTTTTAAAGTGGAGGACTTAGATGCTCTCTATCCCTAAGTAGTCCACAATTTGACAGGAAAGTAAGACATTATTAACATGTCTAATGTGAAATTCTAAGGTAATAAAACAACTGATGTTATGGTAGTATAAACAGTGTAGTAAAAATCCTAAAATTAAAGCCCAGTATTATGTGTTACCTTGACATCTGGGCTTCAAATGGCTTAAATACAAATTCTCCTCCCCTCCAACTCTGCTCCCATGAGAAAAGTCCCCTAACCAAAGAGACCTCCTTTTCAAGGGACTTAGATGTGCTTCCTCCTTATCACTGAGTAGCAGGTTTCAGTTCCCTGCCAACCTGCAGAATCATTCAAACAAGCTAGTCACATCCTCTGATGGAAACCAGGTTCAAACCATCTTGATACTACAAAGCCTGTTTTCCACAGCCTCTGGCTGTTCATTCGTTGTCAAGGGTAACCCTCATGTGGCCTTGTGTGTAGTATGCTCATCCCCTCTGCTATGAATATGTGACTAATAAAGTGCTGCCAATTTCTTCTTCACAGTATTGAAAGTCATGTGTTTGGCCATCCCCATAAACTAGGGCAGGAATCTCTCCCTCATAGATGAGTGAATGTAGCCTGTTCTAATCAGGGCATCTCTTAATATGATAAGAGTTCCAGTTTTAGAATAAGAAGGGAAAAAAATTTTATAGTTTTGTAAAGTAGGTTGGTCTGGATGAAGAATGGTATTAGGGACTGGTTATGCATGTGGCTTTGGTCTTATTTCAGGGGTTCTCTGCTAAAAGAACATATTGAAAAGAAATGATGGCAAATAGCAAACAAAGCTTTGATTTCCTTAGCCAGAGAAAGATCCAGTTCAATAATAGAAAACTTAAGTGAAAGCTAGATCACAGAAACTGAATTAGCATAGGAGGCCAAAGTGAACCTTCTTATTTTCTATACCTTCTCTCTTGAATTCTGTACCCTCTCTCCAAGTAGCTACATACCTGTGAATGAGTGGTCCATTAGCTCTCCCATGCTGCATGCAGGTAGACAGAATTGAGATGGTGAGGCCAGCTGAGACAGGCCCTGCCTACTTTGTCCAATCCCTAGAGAAAGGAAGTACAAGGAAGGCAAGGTTGTAGAGCATGCCTAAGCACTGAGTGCTATTAAAGCCCAAAGTCTATCAGAGTTCAATTCTGACAAGCTGATTAGCAAGATTTTTCTCCAGTGGAATGGAAGTGGGTGGTGAGAGGGATGCCACAAAGGGAGTAACAATTTCCTTCTAACCCATGAGCTAAGGCAAGGATAAGTTCCTTTCCCCAAATTGGATGGAAAGTATTCCAGATAAGTTTAACTAGATCAACAAACAGAGTAAAGCAGAGACAAGGATGGTTCGTGGGAAAAGAATGCACTGTTTGGAGAAAAGGATCCAAACTGGGGACCTGTTGGCTTTTCTGAGAGTTCAAAGTCCAAAGAAAAATGAGGACTGAACAAGAAAAGTTGCAGTTTGAAAAAAAAATGAACCCTTTTGCTCAACTCTAAGGTCTCCAGCTATACTGGTGAGACTGTCTCTGGTACCTTTAACTTCCAGAGAGCAGGGAGATACCAGTGGGTTGGTAGAAGAACAGAAGACTGCATAAAACTTACTAGATGTTTTTGCCATTCATTTGGGAAGTAGCCACTGAGAATCTGCCAGGTACAACAGAGCAGAGAAAAGTAATCTCAGCTTTCAAAACAGTTATATTCTGATGTTAATGCTGGGGGAGAACAAGTGAATGAGCACTTACTATATGCCAAGCACCATAATGTGGACCATCTTATTTGATCATTACAAAAGCTGAGGAAGTCAGATAGTACAGTTTTCACCATTTTCCAGATAAGGAAATATGGGAAAGACATTGTTTAAGGTCTTGTGGCTAAGAAATGGCTCCAGTTCCTGTTCCTGGCTTATAACTACAATGCTATAGTCCTTCAAATACTGAATGAGAAGCAAAGAGGATATTAAAAATAGGAAGCAAAAATTTGGTTCAATTTATATTCAAGTCAGAAAAAAAATTGTAATGAATCTAGGTAACAACACATAAGAACTTTCATAGAGAATATAAAAATAAAAAGTTTAAAAAGAGTAGAAACCATAAGAAGTAACATAAGTCTCGCATTACCAAATATTAATAGAATTATAGAAAAAAATGTCTGTTTTATAATTCCATGAAGTATGTCCAAGAAAAATTATATGTCTTCTATATATTTTAAGTAACCTCAAGTATTCATTAGGAAAACAACATACTTAGAATCATTCTATTTCCCTATTATTGAGGCTTTGTGTTGTCATCCAAAATAATCAAACCACAACCAAATTGGAGCAAAAGTCTAAAATTAGTTACTTGTTCCTAACTTCTGTACTACTTTGGCCCATGTTTAGAGAAATAAGATTTTGGAGTAGATCATGTTGTGCATGGGTGGGCTTCTCAAACTAATATTCTTACAGAGATGAAATCTGGTTTAAAGTGAGAATTAACAGCAGGGTCAACAAACAAACAGAATCTAAAATATAAACAAAAAGCAAGTAAGAGTTTTGCAGGGGTGGCTGCCACCAAATTGCATACAGATGGAAACTATATTTTATAAAAAGGGAGTGGACTTCTCTTATGAAGTGAATCCCAAGAGGGTGAGGTTGGGACACTAGAACAGTCCAGCAATTGGATTTAATAAATACGATGCTTTGTAATTATTAAGCAAGGGCAGTTTAACGAAGCACTTTTTCACATGACTGCTTCTCTAACCTTGCTGAGAGAGGGTAGGTGTTGGCATCCCAGTGTGCAGACAAAGACTTGCCATGGGTCTCCTGAATGGTAAGCAAAAAAGCAAGCCTCAAATCTGCAGTTCCAATGCGGAAATCCTTTGTTCTTTGCAGTGGCCTAGACAACAGTGACCTGCTAGGCTTCCCTGCAGTCCCCAGTGAGGTTGACTAGCCATGACACAGATGAATCAAGGATAGAGACACCTCCCAAATCTATGCTCTCTATAGCAAAAAACTGTAGAAATGCCACATTTCTTTTGGATGCTGCTTTACTTCTCTTTAAATATAAAAAAAATCCTGTAATATTTCTTTTCCTGAATCTTACAACCCATTATTAAAGCCTCAAAGTTTGGCAGAGAACACAATGAAAAGGGAAGCTTAAATCAGGTAAGTAGTTTGCTTCCAGGCTTACCGTAAGAGGATTAAAAACATGGCTAAGTTTCCAAACTCTGGAAAAGCTTATAAATGCTGCAGTAATTAACTATAACTCGAAACACATAATACCATTATAATTACATAAGGGAAAAAGTGTAGGTTAGAAGAATAGTTTAAAAGTGATGGCTCGTAAAAGCATTCTTTACCATACTGTTTTGAAGACAGTGACTTCAGATTAGGAGGTATTTGAGGTAAACTAAACTCCCTCACTAATTAAAAGTGTTGTAATACTTTTCTATTAAAAACCTCAACTGTGATTTCTTTTTAGGCATATTCAAGTTTTTAGGTCAGAACCCTCATTTTTCTTCAAATGTAATCTTAACATCTCTGGGTTCTTCATTTGTGCTACAGAAGGAAAGCATTTTTTTAAAAAAAATTTATCATAGGTCTATCCATACATATCACAGTTCCAAATCATGGCGCCACTTAAGTCATGAGTTGGAGTCATGGTGGTTGGTGATGATGTGCTTATTCTTAGAAAGTTATTGTTTCTGCTTTATCAAATCATGGAACCTAACATCATGCATTTGCCAGAATGCATAAAGTATGGTGACATTTTAAAAGCAGATGGGGCACATTCTCTCCCTTTGCACCCACTCCATCACTAAATAATAATAATATTCTCCTCCCCTATTGTGACCTTTCTGTATCAAAGTCTTCCACTCCCATGGACTCCTGTCAAGGGATCTGATTTTACTCTTTCTACGTATTTCCACCCAATCTCCTGTTTCTAATCTTTCCAACTATTCTACATTAGGAAGCCCCCATTTGGAAGTTTATATTCAGTTTTTATCACCATGGTTTAAAATAAGAGGTAGAGAAATTAGATGTAGAGGCCATGAGAGATAGAAAAAGAGAAGTAGTTCCAAAATCAAATCCTAGCAGAATCACTTTCAAGGCGATTGACCTTAGACAATGGGTAAGGAAGTACAAGAGTGGTAGAAAACACTTACCGGGTACCTACTGTGCACCAGGTGATTATGCATACCATTGAACACAACCAACCACCTTACAGGTTTTTTTTATTCCTATTCTTCAGGAGCTTTATTTTTCATTTACTTTTAAAGATTAACAAGCAATATATTCAAAATTTAAAACTTTAAATAACTTGCCAGAGTCACAGCACTAGGATTTAAACACAGGTCTAATCCCAAAATTCAATATGTATTAATTCTCCCTTAGGGGAAGCACAGAGGATGGCAATTTGTATCATCAAAAGGATCAAAGTAGATTTTATGGGCAGAAGTTGAAGAACTTAAATTGTTTAGCTTAAAAGGGTGTTTTAATTACCATTTTTAAAATGTGGCATTTCTCTAAGGAGTGTGTTGAACAGTTTTAATTGGTGTCCATTAAAGAAAACACTACTGAAAATATTAGAAGTAGTATATATTTTGCAGGATATAAGGAACGATTTTTCTGGGTTAGTCTTACTCACAGAACTTTTATTTGGAAGATACTTTTCTAGGTACTCGAATCTCAAATCAATGAATTAAAATATCACATCCCAGTAAGAATAGATCAGAATATGAAAGTTGCTCAGAATGTGTTGCTTAATAACTAGATAATAAAGTATGGCAATGGCTTGCACAGAGATGATCACATTTCTGGAATTCTTCAGACAGAACAAAAAAAATACATTGAAAAGGAAACTAGGAGACAGAAAACCTTTAAAATTAGACAGCTCAGTTAGTGATTTCTGACCTTTTGAGGATGGGTAACATTCCAACAATACTTTCTTTTGCAACGTTCTTCCTTCAACCAGTCTTTATTCACGACACCACTATAGCGTAAAATGGCCCTTCGTTGTTCCGCCCAGCTGAGACTAGCTTTTCATTCATCCTTTGGTTATACAGCTTCTATATAGGCAATGGTAGTTGGGATTATTTTAAAATGAACTTTGAATTGCGAAATCATAAAATATAGGTTTCTTCTCTCAATAAGGTAAATTTCTGAATTAGTAATTTCTAATAATGATTTTGCACAACTCTATGGTATAATAGAATTATTTTTAGTTATTTCTAGAAAATTTTAAAAATTTTTGTTTATATATCTATATGAATTGTTTATTTACATCAAATATGGGCTTTTTTTTTTCATTTTGTTTTTGCCATGCTAGGGTCTTGAATTCAGGGATGCTAGGCACACATGTTAGGCAAGCATTTTGCTGCCAAATTTTGAGCTTCATCCCCAGTCTCCAACCTATCCTTAAATTTAGAGATTTTTACCTTTCTGGAGATGCAACAACTCATTCTTGTTTTTTTTTTATATGTCTCTCTTTAAAGTATGATAAAAATTAATTAGCTTTGAACTTAGACATGAGAAAAACTCAGGGACCCTCTCACATCTGTGACTTGTTTGAACCCATCCTTTCTCAAAGATAGGCAAAACTAACACTAACATTTCTCATTCCATGGCCCTCGACTAATGTTTATTTTGGTTTATTAATGTCTTACAGTCTAAGGTAATGAAACAAAGGCAATATAATGTGTGCACTCAATGAAACTTCCACCCTACCAATTATAAAAATTGGAAGAATACTAACAGCTAGCTTTTAATAGTGCTACCATGTGCTGGGATAAGTTCACTGAATGAATTTTCTCATTTAATCCTTGCAACACATGTGTATGAGGCAAATAAATGATCTGTTTTTTTTTTTTTAAATAGAATTTGGGCTAGCTTTTGTTTATGCCATATGTTTGCAATCCTTTCTTTTTCAACGACATCACTTAAAAAAAGACTCAGAGGAAACTGAATCTCCCTGAACCTCAGCTTTCCTACAAGGATATACAACTGTACTGTTCTTTTGATATTTTCCTGTGGTCCAAAACATATTGATAATTTTCTGAATCTATAACATTTTGCATGAGCACTTTCCATTCTCTTGTGGTCCCTCACAGAAGGTATGCTAGCTAGCTCAAACAGCACTGGTATTTTTAAACTTGAACAATGTTAGTAAACTAACTACTTTTTTGGTAAACATTCAGAGTACTTATCACAAATCGCATCTTTTACTGATTTTTTTTTCAGTTTTTTTTTTTTTTTTACAAGTGAGAATCTACATCATGGAGAATTTTTAAGTATGTATTTTAGGTCAGATAGTTATTAGTAAAAAACTACTAAAGTAGTCCAGTGCTTTTCTATATAAAAAGTCAATAATTATTGTAAAATCCATACAATTATGCCATCGCCCTACAGAGAATACAAGAATACATGATGTATCATTATAATAGAATATTATCATCAGCACTGAAATTTAACACTTGTGACTATCAGCTATATAATATGTTCATTGCTGTTTTGTTCACAATGTTTTTTGTGTGTGATTCTCTTGTATTCCTAACTAGATTATGACTTCCTTGTGGCACAATTTGTTTTAAAGTTTCTCATGGCCTTTAATAAATCCTAGGCATATGCAAAATGCATAACAGTTTCCGATAGTGACATAAATGTATTTATTTTAGACTAATACTTTCAAAATAGAGGCAAACAACTCATTCCACATGGGTTCAGGTGAATTTGTCAATTTGAGAGACAGAAAGTTGAGAAAATGTTTTCATTTCTTTTTAACAAGTAGTAGAGACTGTCCCTGAAGATAAGTGATTTGAATAATCAAATCAAAGAGATTGGTGAAGGTTAAAATAGAAATCAGAAGGAATGATAAGGATGTCAACTAAACCTCAAGGACATGTAGCGGCATAGGCAGGTTGAATTGCTCAAATAAAAAATAATGAAAGCTAATCGTGACCAAGCAAGTACTAAGCATCACACACTGCTCTTGGTACTCTGCCTGTATCAAATTATACTTCATAACAACCCTAGTGTTTTCACATTTTGTGAATGAAGACATTGAGGCTCTGGGAGTTTAAGCCACTTCCCTCTAACTGGTTTAAGTGGTGGAGCCACCATTCAAAGTCCCATTACTTCCAGGTATCCAGTGTCTACAATGGTTAAGATAAAACCAGAGAAGTAGATGTTAGGTCACTGAGTGTCAAATCTATTCATACATTCGTCCTGCCAGGACTTTAGCTCACATGTGTACAATGGATATTAGGACCAACCTTCACTTTCCTACACCTCTCCAAGGAAAACGCAAATATACAAATTGACTCTGGGTTACAAAACGTATGCACTTGCACACAGCCGGATATGTAGAAGAATTCGACTCAGTGAGGACTTTTCCTTTCCATTTCCTTCCTTATGCAGGAAAATGCGTAACAGTTATCATGGTAGATGCCAAAGACGTTTGGCTCCGGTTAGTGGAAAGTGGAAGGCAACGGTAAAATGAGGTAAGAAATTCCAGGGTCAGACATGGACGCAAGTAATTGTCGGCTTCTCCCAGGAGCTTGCTCTTTTTGGATAAGTGCTACACGAACAAGTCCCAACCAGCTGGCTGCCTAAGCCTACAAACCCCTGCGCCTGATTCTGAAGGCCGCTCAGCTTTGGGCAGATGCACACTCCACAGGGAGCCTCATTTGCAGGAGATGAGTGTTCCCTTGTTCTATTTTAACCATTGCCACAGGGTCGGGAAAGGTTTTGCTTGAAATTGGTGGTAAACGGTGATAGCCAAGCTTTCTCCTTCACCGGAGAAAGCGAATCACGACTTGCACAGTATTTAATGGCTCACGAGTAAACACGTTTTCTTCCCGCCCCTGTCCGCACTTTTGGAGCCAGCTCTGGCAGCTGCGGACACCGGGGCAACGTCCTGCCGGGCTCTGGAGGGAGGACGATGAGCAGACCAGAGCAGCACTTCCCGCGGCGGGGGAAGCTCCGGAAACCGACCCTCGCTGATCCCTCCCACCCAGGACCTAGTCACGGTGATAAACACCAGTCCTGGCCCTACCGGGGAAGGGCGAGTTCAAGCGCAGGGTGTCCACCGTACAGCGGGTTGGTGGGGCGGACGCCTAGACACCCGGCCAGGCTCTGCGCAGCTCAGCCGCGGCCAACAGAGCGGAGCCGACCGCGATCACTGCGCCTGCGCGTCCGGGTCCAGCTCACGCCCCTTTCTGCGGCGGCGTTGCCAGGCCGCCGTCGCTTAGCAACGCAACGCAAGAGTCACAGTTGCCTCGCTCTCGGGCCTCATTCCTAGCAAGGCTATGTCCCCGTTCTTCTGGTAGAGGCTCTTCGTTGCCACGTGCCAGGCCGTAGGAGCCCATGGAAGGAAAGGAGGAAAAGCTGCAGTAAGTGCAGGGGTTTGGATTTTTATTTCTCCCTTCCGAAAATTATTTTCCTCCTTAAGAGGGAGAGTTAGATGAAACCCGAGGGGTGGTCCCCAGCACTGTCCATGCCAAACCTCATCCAGTTCCCTTCCTAATTGCGGTTTCTAGGAGCTGAATGCTGACCATAACAATTTTTAAAATGCACCGTTTACTGCTCACAGTATTGTGTGTCAGCAACTTCACATGCATTGCCTGGCCTAAAACTCTTGAAGGCATCTTGAAATCATCCACTCCTTTTCACTTCCCACATTTAACTTATTAGCAAATTCTGTAGGCTTTACCCTTGCAAAGTATCCAGACTCTACACTGTTAATCATTTCCACTATCATCCCCACCCTGTCCCAAGCCCCAGCTTCTCACTCTTGGAGACTGCAATAGCTTTGGTTCCTTTCCCCTCTGCAGCAACTCAACATAGCAGTCAGAATGGTCTTTTTACAAGGTAGGTTAGATCACCATCCTCCATCGTGCATAGCACAGCAAAAGCCAAGGCTTCTACTTGAGGCCTACACAATTTGCCTCTCTCTCCTTACTTGACCTTGTCTACTGCTTACCTCCTTCTGACAGGACCCTGCTCTAGTATATAGGCCTTGCTGTTTTCTCCAGAGATTCTCAAAGTGATTCCCAGACCATCTTAGCATCACCTGAGAACTTGTAGAAATGCAGAATCATAGGGGATCCCCCGTCCAAACACACTGAATCTGAAACTTTGGGTGTGGGGCCCAATAATCTGGGCTTTAGCAAGCCTTCCCATGTATGGATGTTTTGTGATCCAGTGAATCAAGGTAGCACAGCTAGTTAAGAGTGATGTAGAATCAGTGGAACCAAAACCTGCATTTTTGTTGGTGGAAGAGTGGTTCTCAAACTTAAACATGTATGAGTCAGCTAGACAGCTGGTTAAAACAGGTTCCTGGGAACCAGCCCCAGAGATGATGATTTAGTATTGAAATGATGCCTTTAAAGTTGTAGTTCTAATGAAGTCACATTGATGCCAATGAAGCTTACTCCAGCAATCACACTTCAGGAAGCACCCTGGTGCTAAGGATGGGGACATTCCTGCTGCAAGGCTTTACAGTTACAGTTCACTGGTTTGGAATGCTCTTCCCTCAAATATGCACTTAGCTCTCTCCCTCCCCTGTTTCTTTTTCCAATTGCCACCTTCACAAAGCAGCCTCCACCCTACCTAAAAATGCAGCCTACCTCCCACATGCATGCACTCCTTTTCCCTGCTTTATTGTTGTCCTCACCACTTAACACCATCTAAAAGACTGTGTGCCTTTGTTATTTTATATATCATCTGCCTTCCCCTGCTAGAATGTAAGCTCTATGAGGGCAGTGATTTTTCTGTTTTCACTGCTGTACCCTCCATACCTCAAACAGCATGTGGCACATAGTGACTATTTATTGGAAGAATGAATTATTCAGGGTTATTCTCACATCTGTCATAATAGATATTGTTCTTATCAGGCCAATGAGGAAAATGAAGTTCAGATATTAAATGGCAGAATTGTGATTCCAATCCAGATCTGACTAATCACAGAGCGCATTAGGGTTTTTATTTGTTTTCCTTCTACAAGAAATTACTGAAGAGTCATGTTTCACATTTCTTTTTTTTTTATTTTTTTTTTTGTTGATTGATTGATTTATACACAGTGCTGAGAATTGAACCCAGTGCCTCACACATGTGAGGCAAAGGCTCTACCACTGAGCGACAACCCCCGTCCCACATTTCTTTATCTATAGTCATTTACACAAGTGCTTAACTGAAGGAGTGCATAAGTGTGTAAACAAATAGCTATTGTCCTTTGAAGACCTGGTTCTAGTACCAATGTATTGCTGGGTTACAACCATGAGAAGCAGATGGGGAAAGACTGATGCCAGGATTCTACAATGATAAATTAATTAACCTCAAAGTCACAATCTTGAAATAAATACTTATGTTTCCGGAAAGATAGTAGAAAAGGCTTAGAAGTTATTTACACTTTACCAGTAATCAATTTTTTCAAATCAGTCACAAGGATTGAATGTTATTTGTGTAGTGGAGGGACTGCAGAGGATACACAGCTAAAACAAACCCAGAGTTCAGAAAAAAATCCCATCAGAGTCACCAGAAATATGTCAATATAAATGGCACTTTATTCATCTGCAGGGAACAGAACCCCTTGCCCGGATATTGGGTAAATAATAAGTGAAACAATCCCTACCTCATGGAACTTATTGACTATGACTAGTAGGGTATTTCTGGTGCTTACTAAAAGCAAGTAAACAAAAAACTAGGTACATGCATTATAAACCGTGGTAAGTGTCATGAAATAAAAGGACAAGTCACTAAAACAGTGAATATAGAGAGTCAGGAGGGGAAAATAGATACAAAGCTTCTGAGAAAATGACTTGTAGACTGAGATCTAAATGATCGCCAGCAACCTATGCAGCGAGTTGGGGAAGAGAAGTGCAGGTTGAGAGCACAACATGTGCAAAGGCCCTGAGGAGAAAAGAAAAGGAAAAGCTGCAGGAGTGAGGCAGAGAGGCTTGAATGAGGATGAAGAGATGAGCAAGTCACACATGAGCTCCAGTCAAGAGACAGTGGTTTGTTTTAAATGCAGTGGAGAGCTACATGAGGATTTTAATTGAAAAATGACATGACAGAAGAGATGGGCCTGGCTGTGGTTTGAAGTAAGGTAGGAGTTATATTTTATGGTCTGAGTATCAGGCTAAACAGAATTTCTTATAAATTTGGCATCTTCCTAATTCACCTTTTGTGGGGTCAGAGCTTTGATTTTACAAGCCTCTGGGTGTGAAAATTATTCAGATTACCATATTCTTTATTTTTCAAGTATATGAAATTTTAATAGACTTTCATAATATCTGTTTTTCCTTATTTAAAAGGAAAATGTTCTATGAACTTTAAATCTCTTTAATGTTTTTCATTTTAGTAATTCTACTTTTTGTAGCAGTATAATCATTAGAAGCATAAAATAATAAGACTTAATTGTTTTGTCTACACAGTATCTTTTCTCCCTCAAAAAGATAAATATTGCTGATCATTGGGTAGCTTTTTTTTTTTTTTTTTTTTTTTTTTTTGTGGTGCTGGGGATTGAACCCAAGGCCTTGTGCATATGAGGCAAGTACTCTACCAACTGAGCTATATTCCCAGCCTGCTTTTATAAATTTTCTAGGTAAGTTTTTAAAATTAAGTGGTTATCTTTGTCTAGATGGCTGAATTTATGAGGTAAAGTGTGTGTGGGGGGGTCATCTCCTGGTAATAAAATTTGGAAAAAAAAATATGTTCAGATTAGCATATAATTTATCCACAGGTATAAATATTGCAAACATGACTTATAAGCATAATCAAATTACTACTCTTTACTGCAAGCCAATTAGAGTCTGTATACTACACTGGTCATAATGAATAATCATTATTGACACATAGTTCCTTTATCTCATATATTTAGAATGAGAAGATGCCACCCTAAATTTTAATAGCACAAGCTGTCAAAAACTATTAATAAAACTTAAATTGTCTTGACTAATACCTGAGATATATTTGAATCTTATTTAATTACGACTGCTTGCTTATTGGGTAAATTATTTACTATTTAATTATGTCTTTCAGACAGCATAAAATAGAAGATGATGGTATAGTATATGCAACTGAGAAAGAAGAAGAAATCATACATGAAAAAAAACCTGGGAAAAGCATACAACGTTCAAAACCATGTGTGAGGAGAGGACGTGTAGATTATGCCAAATTCATTATCACAAATGCAAGAACATTCTATGAACCAATTCCCTACATAGATTCCAAAAACAAGACAGAGGACCAGGTTGGACAGATGTTTGTTACATACAAATATAGATTTAGATTTGGAAACTGTTTTGCAGGACAGTTTGGTCACATACTTATTTAAAGGATGTGACACATCTCAGAGTATTACTGTTTATAATCCAATAGTTAAAAGAAGTAACTCGGACCTATTCTGGTAGAGAACTTTGGCATACAAGCAATTGTCTATTAGGAAGGAATCCAAATAATCATTTTTCTAGATTGCATCTAATTTTTCTAGATTGTAGCCACTAAATAATGATTGGAGGCTTATTTCTGCTATAATGTTATATTTTTATGTATATTCTAATATGAAAATTTCCCATGATAATCAGCTAAAATAATAGCTACAACTTATTGAAAGCATATAAAGTGCTAGGAATTAGCAAAGTTTTTGTATAAATTATATCTTTTAATCCCTGAATTTAATTTCTATGACATATTATTGGAAATATTTTAAAGGCAATAATAATACTCCAATGAGGTTAATTAACATGTCAGTTAGAGAGTAAGCAAATAATCACACTCATGTTTCTGACCCAGGATTGTTAGCTTAGCCAAACCCCTTTTATTTGCTGTACCATGCTAAATACATTCAGTTTCTTTTTTTAAAAGTCAGATTTGGGGCTGGGGTCAGAGCTCAGTGGCAGAGTGCTTGCCTAGCACATGTGCGGACCTGGGTTCAATCATCAGCACCACATAAAAATAACCAAATAAAATAAAGACATGCTGTCTATCTACAACTACAAAACTTTTTTTTTTTTTTTAAAAAGTCAGATTTATTTAGGTTTGATTTATTATATTTGCTTCCTTATTGTGGCTGTTAAAAATTACCATAAACTTAAACACTTGCTTAACATAAGTCTATTCTTTTATAGTTCTGGAATTCAGAAGTCCAAAATCAGTCTCACTGGCCATTGGCAGGGTGGGTTCCTTCTAGAGGCCCTTAGGGAGAATCTGTTTCTTTGCCTTTCCCAGCTTCCAGAGACTGCCCACATTCCTGGGCTTTTGGCACTTTCCTCTTCAAAGCCAGCATCATAGCATTTCAAACTGTGTACTGACTGACTCTCCTGCCTCCTTCTTGTAGGACCCTGTGATTGCATAGGTCTCATAGTAATCACATATATACCCAAATGACCCAAGCTAATCTCCCATCTCAGGATCTGGAATCACATCTGCAAGGTCCCTTTGCTATTTAAATTAATACATTTACAGGTTCAGAGAGTAAGACATGAACATCTTTGGAGGTGGGAGAGCATTTGCACAGTAGATTCACCTTTCTTAAATGTACAAGTCTGTGAGTTTTGATGACGATGTGGTCATTCACCTGACCACAGTCAAGCTATGGAACAGTTCCATCATTCCCAGAAGTTCTCCCTTGTTCTTTTGTAGTTATCCTTTTCCTCTGCTTCAGCCCAGGGAACCACTGATTTGTTTTCTGAGGCCTTGCCTTTTCTAGAAAGTCATAAAATGGAATTAGACAGTTTGGAATTTTCCGAATCCTTTTCTTGCAGTTGGGATTTCTCTAGATTGTTGCATATACCATTTGTTCATTCCTTTTTGTTTCTACTGTACCCTTGTCATGTGATTTGCGCAAATAATTACTTTTTCAAAGCTTCAGTTTTATTATATATAAAATAGAATTAGTAGTCATTCTCTCTCATAGAATTTTTGAGAGAATTAAAATAGATATTTTTGTTAGGTCCTATTCGAGGCACTTGGGATATAGCAGTCAATAAAATAAATAGAGGGTAGCTCCTTACTTACATTCTGGTGGAAAAATAAGCACAATACACTGTACTAGGATACTAGATGGTGGTAAGAGTTAGCATGGAAGAGGAGGTAAGAAGGGAGAACTGCAACTTTAAATAGGTGATCAGAGAAAGCCTCACTAAGAAGGTGACTTTTGAGTGAAGACCTGAAAGGAACTGGGGAAGGACCACATAGTAACCTGGCAGAAGAGGATTCGTGATGCACAAAGGGAACACTCAATAAGCATTAGCTCTTGGCAGTAGTAGAATCCTAATCTATTGCTCCTGTACAGTTGTGGGGACTGAGAAGCCCACCACTCCCCATGGAGAACAGGATTCTATGATGAGAGGCCTAATACAATACTGGGCTCAGAAAGTGATCAACAGATGGTATGCAAAATATGCCAAGGCAGAGGTAATCATAATTTCCAGCATGACATTTGAAGAAGGAAATGTGTACTATCCAAATGGTCTCAGACCATTGCAGCAATGTCAGCTTGCTCTATTCCAGTTTTCTCATCTCTGCCAGTGTGCATTAGGTGGAGTTGAGATTTTACTTGATGTTTAATGGAAGTCACCATTCTGACTGGAGTGAGATGATATCCTAGAGTAGTTTTGATTTGGATTTCTCTAATTGCTAGAGATGATGAACATTTTTTCATATATTTGTTGATTGATTGTATATCCTCTTATGAGAAGTGTCTGTTCAGGTCCTTGGCCCATTTGTTGATTGGGTTATTTGTTTTTTTGGTGTTTAGCTTTTTGAGTTCTTTATATACCCTAGAGATTAGTGCTCTATCTGATGTGTGAGGGGTAAAAATTTGCTCCCAAGATGTAGGCTCTCTATTCACCTCACAGACTGTTTATTTTGCTGAGAAAAACATTTTTGTTTGAGTCCATCCCATTTATTGATTCTTGGTTTTAATTCTTGTGCTATAGGAATCTTATTAAGGAAGTTGAGGCCTAATTCCACATGATGAGATTAGGGCCTACTTTTTCTTCTATTAGATGCAGAGTCTCTGGTTTAATTCCTAGGTCCTTGATCCACTTTGAGTTGAGTTTTGTGCGTGGTGAGAGATAGGGGTTTAATTTCATTTTGTTGCATATGGATTTCCAGTTTTCTCAGCACCATTTGTTGAAGAGGCTATTTTGTGAGCTCTCCACATCTATGATATCAACAGTTCTTGTCATAAAACTATACACCCTGCTATTGTATGCAAAACGTGAGATCTCGGGGAAAGAATTCTCATGGTCAAATATGCTTTAATATCAGTTGTAAACTGATGCAAGGATTGTTTGAGGCACTTGATTTTATAAACTTGCTCTTGTAGGTGCTCTTGTATCCTTTATTTGGGATTTAAAAGAAATCCATTATTAAATTATTAAACCAGACCTACACTGGGGAAATAAATCTGGTACAGAAATCCAGGTGAGTGTAGTTCTCATATTTCTTAACGAGTAACTTTCCTGAGCTCTATTCAGGGTTTAATCTAAGGGAAACTGTTAACTCCACCCATCCCTACACTGGGGACACTAAAGAAAAGCTAGTTCAAGAATAGAAATGTGATAGACCTTCAGAGATGGTGAAAGGAAGTTTGAAATGAAGTAAGAGCACAGGTAAGAAGGCTAATAGGAGATATGAATAAAGAGTTACAGACAAAGACAAGAGATGCATCACAAAGTCATGTGGTTTGGATGAGCAGTGAAGGAAAAGTTCGTTTCAAAAACAAAACTAAAAATGAACTTTTTAATGTATTCATTTCCATGTACCCAAGAAGCAATAAAGAATGCTATTTCACATGTATGTAAACTTTGTTCTTTTATTTAAGATGACAGGTTTCTTTTTTTAAGAATTAGCTTGGTTAAAATATATAAGTATATATATAGTATAGCTGGCTTTAAGAAATAAAATGAAGTTGTCTAAATATATTTACTGACATCTGTTTTATACATTTTGCTAAGATAATATCTTTAGAACTCAACACTAGATTGGTTGGTTTTATTTGTTTATAAGATTTTTAAATGAAATTATCCTTTATACATTTCTAACTAAAGACATAAAATTGGTGGCACTGGAAAAAGCGAAATGGAATATTTTAGCCCAGTTATCTTGTTTTTTCTAAATATTGATATTATTTAAAAGAAATTGTAGTAAGTTGATATTTTCAAAAGTGCATTTTTCAGAGCACTAACCCTTGCCTACATGCTTGAAAAAATAAATTTCCAAAATCGAATGTTTTATAAAACATGTACTTTTATTTACCTTTCTTAGAGCTTCATAGTTTACATTGGTGTATAAAGGTTCTGAGAAATTCTGTGATAAACTTGTTTAACTTTGCTTATCTGACTAGTTCCCATATTTATTTAACTATGGGAACCTCTTTTTGCATAACATCTACTAATATGCCCGGGACCTAGTGTTTCACAGAACACAGGTAAGTAACTGTTATGGGAGACATTATAAATTGCTTTAAAAGAGACATTTTTAGCATTCCTGATATCTATAGCAAAACAATTTTAGTTTCACTATATTTAGGAATCCCCAGAGGAGGATTTTATGTATCACAGATGACTGCTATCACCACAACCGTCTTGGCCAAGCTACTCCTGGCTACCCAGCTTACTACCTCTTGCTTTCTCTTAACTGATTTCTCCAGGATTCTCCTCTTGATTTTACCACTTCTCTTCTGAGGATTCTCCAATAATTTCCCAAAGAATGAAAAATAAAATAGTGTTTACTAAAACATTTCTGATAACTTGGAGATAACAGGTGTATTACATAGATTCCCTCACACTGGCTTCTAAATGTAACTGATGGGCCCACAGTGCAGTAGACATTAGACTTTCCAATATTGAGGGGTTAGAAGGAGTTCTACCCAGGAATCTCCAGGCATGTCCTAATCAGGGAACCCTAGTGACTATCAGTCCTAACCTAGGAAAGAGAATCGGCCTTAAAATGTGGGGGGTGGGGGTGGGGAGGGAGTACAGACCTGAGTGCAGGCTTCTTTTTCTCTCTGGGTCCAAAGTTTTGATTTGGGAACAACTGTCTCTTTAGGCAAAGCCCCCTCTTATAATCTGCAAATGTAACCTGTCCCCCAAGGCCTACCCATCACACTAGATGACTTCTCAATTTGGCTTATTTTGTCTTAAATATTTCCATATCAACCCCTCTCAAATCCAATGTTAGTGATGAGCCACAGAACAGTAAATATTTTATTAGTATTTCTCTTCAGTGTGAGGTGAAGACAAAAGCAAGCTCCATCTGTTTCTTTGATCTCATAAACTCTTATGCATAAGTGCTTGGACCAAAAAGCCGTGTGCCCGTGCATGGGAGTCATGCTCTCACTCTTCAGGGACAACTCATACTTTCCAAGCATAGGGAAGACTCTCCAGAAATAGGAAAGATAATATCCTTTGAATTGTAATATTTCATTCAGTTGAAGTGAAGATGCATCTAGTTTTAACACTCATCAGAACTCTTTTACCAATTACAGCATCTTAAAGTCATCCATCAAATTTTAGGAAAAATTATTCGTTATTTCCTTTATATCTGTGAAACTAAAGGGACAATTGTAATAATACTCTCAATTCAACAAATTTTGCTTGAAAGGTTTACTGGTTCTCTGCTTTAAGAATAGTTTTGTAGACTGAGGCTGTGACTCAGTGGCAGAGCACTTGTCTAGCATGTGTGAGGCACTGGGTTCAATCTTTAGCATTGCATACAAAAATAAATAAAGGCATGCTGTCCATCTACAATTACAAAATTTTTTTAAAAAAGAAATAGTTTTTGTATTATATTCATTTGAGAAAAAAATTGGAGTCCACCAAGCATCTTCTAGTAGTTTGCTTACCCAGTATCCCTTTCCCAGTAACTTGGATATTAGTAAAACAAATTTCTAATCAATAAATGTAGATATACTATACTACAAAGTGTATGCCTTATAACCTTTCATAGAACTTTCTTAGAATACTGACTGCTATGGTTCGAAAGTTTTCAAAACATATGTAGAAATGTAATTGCCATTGTAACAGTATTAAGAGGTAAGACTGTTAAGAGGTGATTAGACCATTCACCTTCATGACTGGGATTAATTCTGTAATAAAAGGACAAGGTCAACTCCCCTTTGCCTTCCTTTTACTCTTACATCTCCCAACTACATGAGCATTCTAGAGGCCAACTCGGAATTAGAATTGTCAAACCTGCCCACGCTATGGCTCCTTGATATCAGACTTATGAGCCTACAGAACTGTGAGCCAATAAAATTATATTCATTAAAGCTGCACAAAACAGATTGAGATACTTAAAGTCACTTTTGAAATAATGTAATTAAGTCTATGCTTATTTGGTTTAGCATTCTACAGGAGATTTGATGTAGCAATGGAGCACAGAAATTAGGGTTATGTCCAGATGGGTGGGGGATTGAATCGTGGTAGTGCTGCTGCCTGCTGGTGATGTGCCTTGGGAAAGTTACTTAATCTGCCAGCTTTCTCATTGTAAAGTGGATGTATCTACCTTGCAGAATTGTGGTAAGATAAGGCCTATAAATCTTATACCTTGAAACATATTAAGCACTGTCATAATTATGAATTGGAGTGGAGGAGAAAGAGCTACAAGAATCAGGCACTCTGACAACAGTAAGATGTGACTATTTTTAGCCAGATAGTGAGAAGACACCATCTGTTTAGTAATCTGCTCTAGAATTTTCTTAGGATCCATATTAATTTGTCTCAGTTTTAAAAATCCACCTTTTAGCCCATTCTGAAAATACATGAGGCATTAGCCAATATTTCCTGTTCTCCAAAATTTCCTAGTTCCTAAAATTTCTATGATCTCTGCAGAAATCACCTATTTACAATTACCTGTTCTTCCATTACTCCTAGTTACCATTTGTCATTGGCCTAAAAACGGGCACTAAATAAAGTAACAACTATTCAGTTCTTAGTTCCCTCTTTGGTATTTGTTCATCCTGTCATTTTCAGTCTTAAGGTAGTTTTCATTAACAAAGGACCTTAAAGTTGAGTTGTTCTGACTTTTTAGCTTTGAATAGTGTACTCCTTTCCAAATTGTTAGCATTTCTTTGATTTCTTGCTCTAAAAGGTTAAAAAAAAAAAACCCAAAACTTATTTTTGGTGCCTTTAGCATATTTCATGAATTTCTTCTATTTCTAAGCTGCTGGAGTCTTCTAACAAGTCGACTCCATTACATTTTATTTGAAGTTTGATATTGCACCTCTTACATGTGCTTGTCTTTTTAGAAACTAATCTCATTTGAGAGATGACTCTCTTTGAACCCACATAGGTTTCTTTAGATGCCTATTCTTTTTGAATCAATGTAGCCTCAATTGTATTGTCTAAATTTTATTATTAGAATCACATATTCATTTCACTTAATTCACATTTTAAAAGTCTTTGATTATGGAATCATCGCTGTTTTTTTAGGCAGAAATACTTTCTAGTCAAGGGTTCTACCACTCAGCTACATCCCCAGCCCAGGCAGATCTACTTTCTTAGCCCAAGGAATATTCCCTAACAATGCCCAGGAACTCAGTTGTCACAGTTCCTTTTCCCCAAGGTTTTCTTTCTACCCCATCAAACAGTTTTAAAATTTTTGATCAGAATTAACCTGAGTAACAGTTTCCCTCACTGCTTTCCCAACTTCTAAGAGTTGTGTATGTATTAATGAAATGGTGTGTATGTACTAATGAAAAATCTATCACTTTCCTAGGTACTTAGGTAGGTTTTTATACCAAAAATTCAGTATTATTGGAAACATTCAAACTGAGTTATTAGTGAATTATAAATCGATGTGAATTGTAGTCAGCACTATGAAATGAATAGAAGAGAAATAACATAATAGAAAAATGGCTGAGTACCCTGAAAACTAATAGAAATAAATATTTTATGAATTTTTTCAGTTTTATGTATGTGTAGTATTGTGTGTCCTTGTATGATATAAAATTTATGTCATGGTGTGGATCATGGACTAAAAACTTTGAAAACTGCCATTTTTAGATGATGACACCTTATTTATATTATCATGATTAAAAAGTATAGAATATTGGGCTGGAGATGTGGCTTAAGCGGTAGTGCGCTGGCCTGGCATGCGCGGGGCTCTGGGTTCGATCCTCAGCACCACATAAAAATAAAATAAAGATGTTGTGTCCACTGAAAACTGAAAAATAAATATTAAAAAATTCTCTCTCTCTTCTCTCTCTCTCTAAAAAAAGTATAGAATATAATTTTTAGATTAAATCATGTTTAAGAGCTGGGAATGTAACTCAGTGGTATAGCACTAGCATATAAAAGAGGGCCTTTGTTCAATCCCAAAATAAAATAAATTAAATAAATAAATCATGTTTTTATGTGTGTGTGTACGTATTATATTAAAATTATGTGCAAAACAGATAAAATTATTTTGTTGATTTTTAGTACTTCATCTGTTAATAGAAGGTAGTTTAAGTATTGAGCAGCTGTATTTTAACTAAAAATATGATGATTTTTTTAGCTGTCTTTTAAGAAATAGTGTCCCTGTGAAAAGATATTCCTGGATTTTATAACTCGTTTTTAGTTCTAGAATAGACAATAACTTGTTGAATTACTGAACATCCATAAACATCAAATAACACATGAAAATGTCCTATGGTATTCAATTTTGTGTTTCCAATTTTTTTCTATAAAGAGTGACTGGTGGTCATATAGTAAAGCACTGGAACATGTCTTCCAACCACCCTATGATACTAAGAGCACCCAGAGGAGTGACTTCCAAAAACCAACATGTCCATTGACTTTACCTGTCAAACACAGCAAGATGCAAAAGGCTTCTTCTGGAATAGGTAAGGTTAGCAGTGGTAAAACCTCTTTCTTGCTATCAAATTAAGATATATTGGAGGTGCTGACACCTCCTGAGAAAATTACTTCTCTTTAACAGTTAAAAATATACACACAGCAATGGGAAGCCCCTGACAAACTTGTTATCCTTCCCTAGTGGATAGCTCGACTCCAAGTGTGTTTAATATAACATAATGACAATTGTACAGATTATTAATAACACGAGCCTCAAGTCATAAACTTAGTTGCATTCTTCTCATTGTTGCCACCAAATTTTAAAAATCCTTACTATTAAAATAATAGATAGCTGGGCATGGTGGTACACATCTGTAATCCCAGTGGCTCCTGAGGCTGAGAAAGGAGAATCACAAGTTCAAAGCCAGACTCAGCAATGGTGAGGTGCTAAGCAACTTAGTGAGACCCTGTCTCTAAATAAAATACAAATAGGGCTGGGGATGTGGCTCAGTGGTTGAGTGCCCCTCCACCCAATAGTAGATAACACTAAATGGCAGTATTTCTCAAAGTGTACTCTGAGGAACACTAGTTTTGTATAATGTTTGTGGATAACTGATCAAATAAACAGGGGGAGTGGTTACATATGTTTTGCAAAAGTTAAGTTACACAAAATTTTTTAACCTGTAGCACTCTCAACACCCTTATTCCAAGATAAGCATGATGAATTTCCAAGCAGGAGAGTAAAGAATGCTGTTTTCCCCACTTTCTGTTCATTTCACTTTTTTTTTTTACATTATCTTTCATGTCTGGTGACCCACAAAACATAATTTAGGAAATACTGTTATGTAGATTATTAAAACATTTTCATATCTAAAATCAATTTGGCCTGACAATGTCATTATAATAAACTAAGTCACATTTTATGAAAGTCATTATCTGTTTGTTAGTCCATTCCTAGTCATCTCTACCTCTGAAGTAGGTTTTACTAAGTCTTAAACAAGTCCAGAATGAAGTCAAGATTAAAATGCATTTATTGAATACCTACTCTGGTCCTCACCCCCTACAAAAGTTCAAAACTAAACTTTAAATAAGATATTGTAACACAGGACAGTAATCAATGGAAGCTTGCTTTTAGAGATCAAGAGTACCTCACTTCTGATTGCTGTGATTTGGTCAGTCTAATCAAGGATATACAGGGCAACTAGACTGAGGGTCAGGACATTAAAAAATGATCCTATCCAGCATGATTTCTACCTCAAGGGAAATAGTTAACAAAGAGGGTTAACTAATTAAATACTCTGTATCAATGACTTTGGAAAGATAAAGTTTCTAATTCAGGATAGTAGACCGAGCACAAACATAAATTTGCACAAACATATAAATAACACCCAACCAATAAACTGATAAAGGTAAAGGGAATGGAAGGAAAAGCTTTCTGGAATGTGGGAAAGAATGGAAGCCTATTGATGGATAAAAAAGAGAAAAGAAGTAATACCAGAAAGGAAATTCAGTGAAGAAGAATCAATCCATTTGACTAGACCCCGATGGGTTCAGTTAGCAGACACTGGGGAAGACAAGAAAAAAGAGGGGATGGAAGTCAGGGTTGCTCAAAAGTCTGTCTCAATTAGCAGCTTCAGTCATGAGCTCTCCACCTGTCTTTACATTAAGACTATTAGAGCTGGGTGGGATGGTGCACATCTGTAATCCCAGCCACTCAGGAGGCTGAGGCAGGAGGATCACAAGTTCAAAGCCAATCTAGGCAATTTAAGGAGACCCTATATCAAAATAAAAAACTAAAAGGGTTGTGGATGTAGCTCAGTGTCCCTGGGTACTAAAAATAAAAGTATTAGAACTCAATATTTTAGCCAGATTCCAACTACTAAAACAGTTATTTTAGAAAATCAGAAACTTAGAAAATATGGGAGAATAAAAGCAAAATGGAGGATCAGTTTGGGAGGTCCAACTTTTCTAGAGCTCCAAAAAAGAGGAGTAAAAACACAAACAAGGTAATCATGAAAACATAATGTGACATTTATTGATTATGTGTTATTTGCCAGGCACTTTATAAAGCTTTCTAAATATAAACTTTAATTCTTACTTTAATTTTTACACAAATCCTTTGTAACATAATAGTGTAGAAATACTCTTACTATTCTCATATTTCAGATAAGAACGGGTAGGGAGACAAACTTTTATTTCTACCCTCTTAGGAGTTTTTGGCTGGGTCTGAGAATTAAATTGACTCAAAGATCAACAAGAGAAAAACAGAAATTTAGTTAAAGCAAGCTTTATGTAGCACAAGTGCCTTCATAAGAAAATGAAGATCCAAAGACACAGAGTTATATACTGAATTGGACAAAGCTGTACACTGTGAAAATGTAAAAAGGCAAAGGCACTTGGACTGGGTAGTTAACTGGGTAGAGAACGGAGTCACTGTTGGAGAAGGGTTAGTTTAACAAGGTTTACTGGTACAGATTTCCCTCAGGCTCATTTCCTGGGCTTGATGATAAGAATGATAACTTCCTTGTGGCAGAGATAGAACATCTTTTACAGGAATTTCATCTTCAGCTTTTAAGAAAAAGAAGGAAGATCAGAATGTTTTTGTTTGCTTGTTTGTTTTTGTTTTGCTTTATTTATTTGCACCCACTGTTTTTCAAGTGTCTTTAACTCAATATGGTCAAGATACCAGTATATTTGGTGTGGTATGCTTTGAACTCCTTCAAAAGAAAGCACAAAGTTTATGCAACTCCTAGGAGAAAACATAGGGTTAACACTACAGCATATAAGTACAGGCAACAACTTTCTCAATAGGACCTCTAAAGCTCAGGAAATAATGTCAAGAGCTAATAAATGGAATGGCATTAGGCTTCTGAACAGCAAAGGAAACAATTAGGAATGTGAAGAGAGAACCTACAGAATGGGAGAAACTCTTTGCTAGCTACTCTTTTGACAGAGGACGAATATCTGGAATAGACAAAGAACTCAAAAAACTTTATGCCAAAAAAAAATCAAGTAAATTAATAAATGAGCACATGAATTAAACAGACACTTCTCAAAAGAAGAAATACGAATGGCTGACAAATATATGAAAAAATGTTTGACATCATTAGCAATTAGGGAAATGCAAATCAAAACTACACTGAGGGGTTGGGGCTGTGGTTCAGTGGTAGAACGATTGCCTAGCATGTGTGAGGCACTGGGTTTGAACCTCAGCACCACATAAATAAATAAAATAAAGGTGTCATGCCCATCAACAACTAAAAAAATATATTTAAAAAATTTTTAATTAAAGAAAAAAAATCTTCACTGAGAGTTCATCTCATACCAGTCAGAATAGCAGTCATCAAGAATACAAATAATAAATGATGGAGAGGATGTGGAAAAAAAGGAACACCTTTTGGTGGGATTGTAAATTAGTATAACCACTATGGAATCAGCATTGAGTTTCCTCAAAAGGCTAGGCATGGAACCATCATATGACCCAGCTATACCACTCCTTGGTATTTATCCTAAAGAATTAAAGTCATCAGTGATACATGCATACCCTTGTTTATAGCAGCACAATTCACAATAGCCAAACTATGGAACCAGCCTACGTGTCCATCAACAGCAGATGAATGGATAGAGAAAATGTGGTATATATACACAATGGAGTTCTCTTCAGTCATAAAAAAAAAAAAGAAATCATGTCATTTTTGGAAAATGGGTGGAGCTAAAGACCATTATGTTAAATGAAATAAGTCAATCTCAGAAGGTTAAGAGATATATGTTATGGGGCAAATCTCATAAAAATCAAAAGGAGATCAGTAGAGGAAAGAGGGACCAAGAGGGGGAATTGATATTGGCCAAATTATATGGACATATTATGTGCAGTGCAAATATGTAACAATAAATCCCATCTGTATGTACAATTATAATGTACCAATTAAATGTGGGAAAAATTAAGCTTAGGCATGGCTATAACATTAATAGTAGGCATATAAATTAGGTCACAAAAGTGTTATGATTTTTTAATGACAACATCAACTATCTTAAGAGCCATGTACTAATTTTTTGTGGGGGGATACTGGGGATTGAACTCAGGGGCACTCAACCAATGAGCCACATCCCTAGCCCTATTTTGTATTTTATTTAGAGACAGAGTCTCACTGAGTTGCTTAGTGCCTTGCAGTTGCTGAGGCTGGCTTTGAACTTGCAATCCTCCTGCCTCAGCCTCCTGAGCCACCAGGATTATAGGTGTGCACCACTGCCTGGTATACATACTAATTTTTGAAAGCAAAATCTAGAATCGAGAAAGGCTTTATGTTTAAGCAAAAGTATTCTTTATTGCACAAATATATACATATATTCAAGGAAAAGTTTCTAGATATATAGGTGTGTGTGTGTGTGTGTTAGCTGATTTGTTGGATAAAGAAATACATACACTGTTCAAAATAAGTTTTGAGCAATTAAACAACTTCATTTGCATTTTGGGTGTAATTTTAAGAAAATAAATTAGCTAAATACAAATCACCACATTAAAAAAAGAAAGCACAAATTTTAAATAACTTGCTCAAAGCTACAAAGCTACACAGTGAATGATTGTTATTTAACCCCCAATAGCCTGATCTCTCAATATCTGTACTCATAACTCTGCATAGCCTTTAAAGTATTAAGAAAGTTTCCTTGTATCAAAGGGTTTCTCTGTATTGAAAGGGTCCACTGAGTGTTTCCAGGTGTGAAGGGGAAAAAATATACATTCCTATACATCATTATGAAATGGTAAAACAATCATGAAGAGAAGATTCTAAAAGTTTCCATAAAGAGAAAGAAAAATGTCACCACCTAAGGAATAAGAATCAATTTAAAAAAATCACTGATGCAAGGGAACAATAGAGTTTATGTCTTTAAAGTTCTCAGGGGAAATAATTTTTAACTTAGAAAAGAGGATTTACTTGGCATGGATATTCCAACCACTTTCTTCAAGTGGCACTGGGCATTAAACCCACTGAGAAGGAAATGAAGTCCTAGCACACTATTTGACCCTGAAGTGAGCAAAATTCATATAGTT